GGGGTGGAAGCGTAGGTCAATGCGATCACCATTGTCTCGGATAATGTACTTGGCCCCTGGGTACTGGCTATTCCCCCTGCGTACCAACTCCTGAAGTCTAGAAAGGAAAGAGGTGCAAACAAATGTTTCAAAAAAAAAAATCCTTGCTTTAATTAATTAATTAATCCCTGCTGCCACCATCACCCCAAAGTCTCAAACAGAAGCCTCACTTGACACCAGAGCCGAGAGCTCAAGGCTGGGAGAGCAGGACCTCTCTCAACAAGCCCCTCTACTGGCCCATGGTCACTCTACCCTGGCCTCTCCAAGGCGGGACTTTCATGCTGATGCACACCTGTCAATGTTGAAGGGGGTGACGATCTCTGCAAAAGTCATGTTGGCAGCAATGGAACGGGGCACGCCAACCTGGTCGATGGAAAGGTTGGGGTCGGGGGTGATGACTGTGCGAGCAGAGAAATCGACACGCTTGCCCATCAGGTTCCCTCGCACTCGGCCTTCCTTGCCCTTTAACCGCTGCTTCAGGGACTTGAGGGGGCGGCCAGACTTTTGCATAGCCTGTGAAGAATAGGGGTGGGGTGTGCCCCCTTAGTCAGCACTGGCGCCTCCGTGTTCTGGGGCCTCCTGCTGGTCCCCAACCTAGTTGTGACCCCTGCTCTACCCCAGGCACAGGGCATGGTTGGGGAATGTGTGGACTCACGCGGGGCAAGCCAGGCAGCTCATTGTCCACCATGGTGGCCACGTGGAACTGCAAAAGCTTCACGTCTTCCGCAATGACGTGGGCTGCTGCCCCATTCTGCTCATTCCGCCGGAGCTGATTATTGATCTTCACAATGTCAGCCAGCTTATGAGTCAGATCATCCTGGGGAGAGAGGGACCGTCCTGACACTCAGGGCACGGCACTCACCTGGTGTGTGCGAGACTGAGCCACGAACCCACCCAGGACTGGCATACTCTCCGGCCGAAAGCACCTGGGACCTTCCCCTTCTCAGGACCTCATTACAGCTCCCAAGGCTGCTAAAGGACAGGCTGTTTCCAAACACAGACCCATCTGTCCACTACCTACACACACTTCCCCTCACCCCAATGCTTCCTCCTCCAGATATCCAACACCCCCCACCCCCCAGCGGAGGCAGAGGCTGGGATGCTGACCTGGTTCCGGGCTGAGCCCTGCATCACCACAGCTGGCCGCACAGAGAGCGGAGGCACTGGCAGCACCGTGACGATCATCCACTCAGGCCTCGCATACCGGGGCTCCATGCCCAGAACAAAGCACTCCTCATCTGAGATGCGTTTAAAGATCTCATGTACTCTTTCTGGGCTCAGCAGGATCTTTTTTTCCTGAGAGTCCTCATTGACGTGCTTCCACTCTGCATACAGCTCCAGGCCTGAGCGCCGGATCCGGGGCTGGTAACGCCCACAACCTCCATGGCCCTTCAAGGGAAGACAAAGGCTTACCACCTTTCCCGCCGGAGGCCTGCCCACTCCCTCCTCTTGTGCCACCTCCTGAGCCCTTCTCCCTTATGACAGTGGCTACCAGTCCCTGTCACCTTTTCTTTGGTCAAATCCTCATCACCCTCAGGCTGCTCCACACCAAACTTGTTGTCCATCTCTTCTCCACCCTCACAGATGTTTTTGCCCTTGCAAAGGTCATAGACGTGTGTGAGGCGCTTCTTGGGCTGCCCTTTGGACTTAGCCAGGATATCCTTGATCTTTGGGTTATTCTGAAGATAGGAGTAGAGCGAGGTCAGCTAGGCTAACCCACATCACCCCAGCAGGCAGTCCCATCTCTGGGCCAGGGTCCCCCCATCACTCACAGAGTCCACAAGCAATTTGGAGCAGAAGAAGCAGACACAGCGCAGAACCTTCATGGTCTTCACCAGGAAGCCCACGTGGAAGACAGGCTTGGCCAGCTCAATGTGGCCAAAGTGGCCAGGGCACTCGGTCATGTTTCCTGTAGGAGCACATGCTGAGACTCCCTCCTGGCTCCCGATTTCCGCCTTCCCAGAGCTTTCCCCACAGATCGCAACTTAAAGGACCCACAGCACTCTCCTCTCAGGATTCCACCTCAATTCCCACACTCACCTGCACACGTCTGGCAGCGGCCAGTCCGCTCGATCACCCCCTGCCTTGGATCCATCAGTCCCCCAAGTTTGGGGCGACCTCCCTCAGTCGTCTCTGGGTACTTGATCCCGCCCTCTGTTACGGACATCCGTTTCTATGAAAAGAAAAGTCAACAACTAAATAGGATTCCTAGTTTCCTGCACTCAAGTATGATGAGAACTCAAAACTATTTTGAGAAGAACTAACCACGTTTAGCCCAGGTTGGGGTGGATGAGGGCTGACTGGCATTTGGGGAAATGCCAAAGCCAAACATTCCAAGCCACAAGCTTATTCTCACCTCCATGTGAATAGGAATGGGGGACTCAAATCAGAGAGAAGGCAACCCCGGGCACCTCACAAATAATCATGCTGGGTCCTCAAGGCAGCCCTCTCAGTTATATTTTAGATTAATTCATACACAGAAGTTTACCACAGAAAGTTAATTTAAAAAAAAAAATCAAGACTTTGTTTAACTGAATCCTCATGTAGCAGTTCTCAGTACCTGCCAACTAGCAGGATAGTCAAGACTGATATCCTAGCTCCAGACGTGGAATTAGGAGACCTGCAAATGCATCCTGCCTCTGCACCTCTTTCTCGCCACTTCCCAAGGGTACAACCTTCCCAGGTGCTTGCATATTCAAAGAGAAAGCTGGGTACGAGGAGGGTAAAACCACTTCTACTAATTTCCTTCGGAATCACAACCACCCATCATCAGCTATTGATCTGAGGCTATAAATCTTTAGGGGAGAAGATTGTCTATCTTCCTCTCATGACACTAGAGCCAGTACAAGAAGGAGATGGGGATGGAATTTATCAGGAGCAGGGAAGTGAATGTGCACCAAAGCCAGAATCTCAGGAAGGTAGAGCCAGGACTCGCAGGGTCACGTCCATGTGGGAAAGAGCGAGATAAAACTCAAACGTCTGCAGAGTTGAAGAGGAGGTTCCTGCCCTAGACTATCTTCCATTTACAATGAAAACCAAGAATTAATAATTCAGCTAAGCTTTGTCCACTGAACTCCCAGGAGGAAGAATTTAACAAAAGCTTTCAATTGATTATTTACCTCTTAGGAAGACAGAAGTAACCTGAAGCTGCCAAAGCTTCCAACTTGCAGGAACTACCAGAAGTCTAACCCATCCCCTGGTTCCCAAAACATGCCCATCTCACTACAGCCTTCAGCATAAACACTGATGTAAACACTAGAATTTAACATCATCTTGGTGCCAAGCTGATTTTCACTCTGAACTTCATAATGAATTCATCACTGTCTCCATTTCACAGATTACAAAACTGAATGGACTAAGGTTACGCATGCAACTAGAAGAAAGCGGTGAAGCAGATATGAAGCCAGGTCTGCTGGTTCCGTCTGTGTATCTCTCCACTCCATCATGATGATATCCTAACTCAGCACAGGGGCTGACCCACGTACCTGGGACGTCTCCATCATTTCCCTGCTTACTGATCAGCAAGAGTCCTCTATGGTCCCCTACAGCCCAGCCCAGCATGCAGGGCACTCTACCTTCCGTGTCTCTGCTCAAGTGCCATTCCACAGGCTCCATTCAGACCAGACTCCCCCTGTGCTACCACAGCCTCCTATGAGATGTTTGCCTCCCTGAATTAATAAATTTTCCAAAGGCAAAGGCAGGAAATAACTACAATTCACCCTGCTTGACACACAGTAGGTTATCCACAAATGCAAATTAACCCGAACTGCTTATCAGGGGACTAGCCAACAGGTCAGCAGTTTGAATCCACCAGCTGCTCCGTGGGAGAAAGATGGGTAATCCAAAGATTTGAGTTTAGAAAGCAGATGGAGGGTCACCATGAGCTGAAGCCACATTCGTGGCAGTGGGCAAATGCCCAAAGGCTCCTCAGTGTCAGGGAGTGACCCTCAAAGAAATGAGGGAGGCAGGGAAGAGGTGTGCTGGTTGCCCTCACAGATCAGTAATCCCCTCACAACAGATCTGATGAGCCACTGGGAAATGAAAGGGCTACAGATGTGAGGCTAGAAAAGTTGTGAATGTCCAGAAGTCAGGCCTGATATTCTTCAAGGAGCCAGGTCCAGGGTGCAATTCAAATGTCATCAACTCATCCTGAATCAAACATAAAAATGCAGGGGGCTGAATCTCCCTGCCAGAGCTGGGTTTCCAACCAGTTCATCCTTGTTCGGTCATGGCTGTGGGAACAAGCCTAGAAGAGGCCCTAATTTTAAACTGAGGGTGATCCAGCATGGAAAAAAGTACAGGGCCCAGTCCCACTGAAAACTTAATGCAGGAAGTAAGGGTAGCATATAGACTGCATAGCAACCAACCTCCTACTCCTTAGACTTTAAGCATAAACAGAAATATAGCTACCCTGCTCAAAACTGGCAGCCAACCACCTCTTTGAACGTATCTTGTTCTTCTCAGTTCTGCAACAATCCAATCTCACACACCAGACTCCTAAAAGGGCTCACTACGCCTCTGTCAAGTCTCCCATTCCAGGGCTTCAACTAGTAATTTTCTGCATTCCAGTCACTATTTGTTTTTTTTTGTTTGTTTTTTTTGGGGTATTTCAGAATTTATTCCATATATATGCTTCCCCTTCTCTTTACCTAATGGTTTGGGAAGGAGGGAGGTTCTGTAAAGTGTAACAGATGCTTCACTAATAACATCTTGCTTTGAGTTTTACTATAACATGTAAGAAACAGTAGATATATTCTACTACATGTTAGATTATTTCCTCATTGCTCCTAGACTACTTTTTTGACTTAATTTCTTTTACTTTAATAAAAGACATCGTCCATTGATGACCAGTCGGATTATCTCTGTATTTGCAGGTCTTCTTGCATACAAGTGACTGAGTTTATTGTTGAGAATAGTAAGAGAATATGGATGCAAGAAAAAAACAAGTGGAGACACAAACTGCCTTAGCAGCCCTGCCATGGATCTGCCCGATTCTTTCGCATCAGGAAGTTGATTTTTCTGGCCATTTCCATGTTGTAGATCCGTCGGCAGGTCTCATAGCTTTCCCGCTGTCGCTTGCGGCAGGGCTTCTCATAGTATCTCCTTCGCTTAATGTCTTCAATGAGCCCATCCATGCTGAGGATTCTGTTCAGGCTCCTGTATGCACTTTCCACGTTGCCATCCTGTACCATCACAGTCCTGGCAATGAATTTCAAATGTCTTGCCATGATCTTGGATTTAAGTCTTCACTCTTCTCTCAATTAAAAAAAAAA